TTGTTAAGTGAGAAATTTAAGTGAGTTTTGCCCCATTTTGTGACTTTGCTTGCCACATTTGTTAAGTGAATCACTGCAGTTGATAAGTCAGTAACACGGTTGTTAACTAAATCTGGCTTCCCTATTGACTTTGCTTGTCACATGACTCTGGGACACTGCAACTGTCATAAATGTGAGGCAGTTGTCAAGCATCTGAATGTAAATCACATGACCCTGGGTATGCTACAATGGTCATAAGTGTGAAAAATGGTCACAAGTCACTTTTTTCAGTGCTTTGTAACTTCGAAAGGTCACTAAACTTACTGTTGTAAGTTCAGGGCTATGATATCTGTATTCACAACAATTGCAACACCCCAGGATCATGTGATCACAATTTGTGGTTTTCCCAAGGGGTTCCCAATAAGGAAAGTCAATGGAGGAAGCTGGGGTTGCTCGTTATTTCAAATACTGTCCCAAATCCTCATCAGTCACTGCTAGCTGTGATCCCATCATTTTGGAGAAGACTGTTCCTTTGAAATTCTGTTGGAAAATATATCAGTGCTCCACATATATGGCATTTGTACACAGCAATATTTTTCTTGTCAAAAAGTTGAAAAGAGGAATGCTGGATTCAGGTTTACAATTTAATTAAGATGGCATAAGATGATTGCAATGTTTATTGTTACGAAGCTTTGAACAACAATACCTCCCCCAGCAAATAGAAATTGTGAATGTAAGTTTGAGCATCACTGCGTTTGAAAAATACGGGTTTTAACTTTAACATATTTATATATGTATGTGTGTGTGTGTGTGTGTATTTGCAGATGATTTCTTGGATGTAATAGACAGAGCAATCAAAATTGGAGTTCAAAAGGTAACTTGGGAATTAAATGTTTTTAGATGTGTTCCTTCTTATTGTCTGAACTGCCCATTTTTCCTTGCTGTTGACTTTCAATTTATGTCCCTCCCAAAGCATATTAAACTTGGTGTTGGGAAATTAGCATTTACATGGTTTTTTTCTTTATTTCAGCTCATCATCACAGGTGGTAATTTACAAGACAGCAAAGATGCCTTGCAGCTGGCCCAAACCAATGGTATTTCTTTCGTCGTGTGTCACCCTCAAGCGGAATGCTTGAATTATCCCACACTTGTATTTACTTAAAAAGGAAGCAAAACTTTTCCTCCACCTGCAAATTAGGAAAGTTGTTTATCTTGCCCTCACTGAGAAAAGAATATGTGGGGGATCCAGTGGTCACATGATGAAAGCAAAAGCTTGACACGGGAGGAAAGAAATCGGGAGATAGGAAGTACAGGTAGTCCTTGACTTACAACCATTTGTTTAGTGACCGTTCAAAGTTAAAACGACGCTGAAAAAAATGATCTATGACTGGTTTTTCACACTTAACAATCAGTACAGCATTCCCATGATCAAAATTTGGACGCTTGGCAACTGGCACATACTTAGGACGGTTGCAGTGTCCCAGGGTCATGTGACCTTCTGACAAGCAAAATTAATGGGGACGCCAGATTCACTTAATGACTGTGTTACCAATTTAACAATTGCAGTGATTCACTTAACAAGTGTGGCAAGAAAAGTCATACAATGGGGCAAAACTCACTTAATAAATTTCTCACTTAGCAGCAAAAATTCTGGGCTTAATTTTGGTCGTATGTCGAGGACTACCTGTACATGTATGTATTTGTGTTGCATGCTTGTATGTGGGGAGTTTCTCCAGGAAATGTTTGAGAAGCAGCTGACAATTGTTACCTCAGGCACTAGCCACAGAGAAAAAGATTCTCTAACTGGCTTTAAAACAAGAATGAATCTGTTTCAATTCTTATGCTTTTGTTTACAAATCCTTGCAGACAGGGAATAGTAGCTTTTTTTACAAATACAATCGCTAGCAAAAAACATAATCAACATTCACGATCCAAGAGAATGCAGGTAGTCCTTGAGTTAACAATAGTTCGTTTAGTCACCATTCAAAGTTAATGACAGCACTGAAAAAAGTGACTTATGAGCATTTTTCACACTTACACTCACATCTTTTGCTCCATTGCAGCATCCCCACGGTCACGGTATTTACATTCGCAGGTTCATATTTATGACATTTGTAGTATCCCAGAGTCACATGATCACATCTTGCAAACTTCTGAGAAGAAAGTCAGTGGGGAAGCCAGTGTCCCCTCACAACCATGTTATTAACTTAACAACTGCAGTGTTTTACTTCACTGTGGCAAGAAAAGTTGTAAAATGCGGCAAAATGAATGTTTCTCTTAGCAACAGAAATTATGATCGTAAGTCCAGGACTCTCTTGCTTTAATAGAGTCTGCCTCAGTTATATCAACACTTTCCTGTGGTCTGATTTCAGAAATGTTTTACAGTACTGTTGGCTGCCATCCCACTCGCTGTGGGGAATTCAGTCAGGGTAATCCTGACCGGTACTTAGAAGAGTTACAAGATTTAGCAGAGAAGAACAAAGGGAAGGTTGTCGCAATTGGGGAGTGTGGCTTGGGTAGGTATTAACCCCTTGGCATAAGTGCATTGTTTTTTCATGGCAGTTTTTTGAAGGCCTCTTCACTGTCTGTTTTCCCCTTCCCAGACTTCGACAGATTAGAATTCTGCCCCAAAGACATTCAACTCAAGTAAGCAATGTACTTATTGTTTCAAATATGTTTTACTGGCCATCCTGTCTTTTAAACTTCTGTTATACTGTTCTATAGGGATTTGTTTTTCAGTGTTGCCTTGCTTCTCATCCAGAATCTTATTGTTAGAATTGAGAAGCTGTAAATACTATGGATTCAATGATTGATCAATACAATTTTTATTTTCTTTCAGGTATTTTGAAAAACAGTTTGATCTATCTGAGCAAACCAAATTGCCAATGTTTTTGCACTGCAGGAATTCACACCCAGAATTCCTAGGTGAGTTTTGTTAGAAAACTAGAAGAACAAATGTGTACGTTTGAGGGAACAAAAATTCTTAAGATTCTAAAATCAAATTCTTTTTTTCCAGATATAATGAGGCGAAATAGAGAGAGGTGTACAGGAGGAGTGGTAGGTGCAATGCAGCTATAATGTTTTTCAACACTTTTTTGTGATTTAAAGTCTATTGCTATATTTCCATCACAGATAGGTTAGACATTTCTCTCTGTGTTTGCATTCTTCAACCAAACCTTCCCTTGTAAAACACTAGAGGAATTGTATTTCGGATCTAGCATCAAGCCAAGTTTTTCTTTCAGTTATTGGTATTTTGTAATTCTTTTTGAATTGGGATTTCTGTGATCTGAATCTTTTTATTTTAAATTTGGCAAGTGTCCTTCCATGTCCTGGTCAACCTTAGGCCTTGCTAGCCGTGTTTAGAAGTTGAACTTGGATAGACTGGGGTACCTGAATCTGGTAGGGTAGCACAAAGAATGACACAGCTGTGAAAAAGGGAACAGCCACATCTTCCTAGGTGGAATTGCTAAATTTTTCCTCACATTTTTCATGCATGCACAGCTGCCAGATGGCATCCAGAAAGATCAACAGAAATAATTAGAGGGAATTGTATGACTGAGTACAGGTAATCTTCAGCTTATGACCGCTCCTTTAGTGACATTCAAAGTTATGACACACTTCCTCAGGGATACTTACATTCTGAAGTTTTAATGGCCATCCCTTCTCCCTATAGTCACATGACTGCATTTCAGGTGCTCAGCAACCTAGTCATGTGATCAGCATTTCCAGGTTTCAGCCCGAAGCAAACAATTGGTTTACTTAACTCCTACCACAAACAAAGTCATTAAAATCTGATCAGGTTACAGGGGCAACTCACTTTATGACTGTGATTGGCAGACTTCCATCATGGTCCTTTATTGAGGATTGTCCGCGTTAACATACATTTACCTTTTGTCTTATGATATATATATATATATTATTCAGCTTTGTTCGGGTATTTTCCACATTAACGTGGGAAAATACTCGAACAAAGCTGAATACCATTCATGTAAGTACCCGTGGGTATTTGTATGTGGATCTTTGGTTATTCGGGTTTTCTCCCACGTAAAATTGGAAGTATCTTGGCAACGTTTCAACAAAATCTCATTCGTCATCTTCAGGCTTGTGTCTTCGGCTTTGTGCTTCTTGGAGTAATGTGAGCTTGCAGCTGCTTCTTCCTTTTAAGTGCTAGTGGGGGTGTGACTTGATTGGGTGGGTGGGTGTTCTGATTGGTTGGGGGTTTGGCTGTGTTCTGATTGGCTGGGGGTGTGTTCTGTTCAGGTGGGGGCTTGGTTTTGCTCAGGTTAGTCTTAGTTGTCATACCGCAGCCGTACCGCAGCTGCATCACTACCCGCTTCAAACCCCTCCGACCCATACATGAAGTGAACGGACGCCCACCATGAAGATGTGGCACAACCACAAACGCGAAGCCAAACAACAGGATCACAGCTCACCAGCTCAAATCCCCCGGCAACGAAGACTAACCTGAGCACAACCAAGCCCCCACCTGAACAGAACACCCCCCCAACCAATCAGAACACAGCCAAACCCCCAACCAATGAGAACACACCCCCAGCCAATCAGAACACAGCCAAGCCCCCACCCAATCAAGTCACACCCCCACTAGCAGTTAAAAGAAGCAGCTGCAAGCTCACATTACTCCAAGAAGCACAAAGCTGAAGACACAAGTCTGAAGATGACAAATGAAGTTTCGTCGAAATGTCACCTAGATACTTCCAATTTTACACGGGAGAAAACCTGAATAACCAAAGATCTGTATGTATGTATGTATGTATATATGTATATGTATATGTATGCTTCTACTTATTTTTATAGGTTCACTCTTTTGATGGTACCAAAGAAGAAGCGGCAGCTCTAATAGATCTGGATCTTTATATAGGGATTAATGGTTGGTAAGTTATTTTAAACATTAACTCTTCCCTCAAGCATTCATTTTTAGTTTGGTAGGTATTGTGACTTTTTAAAAAATAAAAAGATCATTAACCATGTCGTGAAGAGATGGGCAATTCTGGCAACTTTACGACCTGTGGACTTCAACTCCCAGAATTCCTGAGCCAAATGGCTCAGGAATTCTGGGAGTTGAAGTCCACGGGTAAAGTTGCCAGAGTTGCTCACCCGGAAATAGTTTGTCTTGCCAGAGACATGAAAAATATAAGCTCCTTATTTTTTGAAGCCTGAAACAGGAAACATCAACAAAAGATGCTCGTAGGCAAGCAGTCCTGTATTGATGGGCCACATTAACTTCCGAAACCACTGCAATTATGTTACACTCATAACTAAGAATAAAAATAATTAAGTCAGTAATATACAACAATCTAAATCTCAGTCAGTTATACTACTAGTCTTAACTCACTTAAGTTAATTCTCAGATAAGTTATCCAGTTCAAGAGCTTGGGAAGTCCTCCTATTCACCAAAGGTTCAGAAATCATTTTGAATACAAAGTCACCCACCTTTATCTCAATCCTACCTTACAAAATACAGAAAATGAAAAGAGTGAACAGGATATAAAACTATGCCACATTTAGCTTTAGAAGCCCTAGAGCTTCTACGTATCCAGAGATGCAATAGAATTCAACTTTAATTAAATTTAAATTTCAGGCATTGAAATTTAAAGCTCTCCCAGTTTTTAATTCGAAAAAAAACCAGCCTAATGTCAATGGGTTAGAAGCACAATATTGGAGCATTCCAATATTTTTGTTCAAAAACCAAAAACTTATTTGTTGAATTTTGGGAGAAACTTCTTTTTTATGAACTCCCCAACAATAGGAAGTGATAGACAACTTCATCTAACAAACGTCTACAATTATTTCCAGTTCTCTGAAAACTGAAGCCAACCTAGAAACGGTGAAGTCAATTCCCAGTGAAAGGTTAATGATAGAAACAGGTAAGCCACTTGGCTTTCATTAATTTATCATTTAAAAAACTTTTAGATCAGAGATATATTTGGGTTGTAATCTTGAGTGTGCATCCAAATCACAGGCCAGTTGCAAAGTTATCTTTAGTATGTATATAGAGATTCTCCAGGTCATGGTTGTCCTAAGCAGAGGTAGTATTTAGCAGGTTCTGACCAGTTCTAGAGAACCGGTAGCAGAAATTTTGAATAGTTTGGAGAACCGGCAAATACCACCTCTGGTTGGAGATTTTAACAGTGTCCTTCCCTTGAGACACCCACCAAGCCACACCCACAGAACCAGTAGTAAAAAAAAAAAATTGAATCTCACCACTGGTCCCAAGGATACTTTTCCAAAAGGCAACTGGACTCTCTTGGGTTTTTTCTTTGAAAACATTTCACCTGTCATCCAAGAAGCTTCTTGGGTAAGAATGGGAGAAGCTTTTTGGATAAGAAGCAAAACTTAAAAAAAAAAACACCAAAAAGTTCAGTTGCCTTTTGGAAAAGCACCTTTGGGTTAGCTTACCATGATTATCCAGAGAGCTAATTCATTTATAAAAAAAGGGGAAATGCCCTTAAAAAATGTCAGTCCTTTGGTCATATTTAGCCATGTACAAAACATAGATTCAGGAATAAAATATTCCAAAGAAACCTGGAATTTTCCATTCCTGTTCTGATCATGCCATTCTGGGGACAGTTCGGTGGATTTCTGGAAGTAAGTCTGGTGAATAAAGATATGCCCCAGACAAAAATAGCATGATGCATAGAAGAAACTCCAAACTGTTGTGCTCCCAAGCCTGCATTTTGCCAGATCCTTGTCAAATATTGGATTATACCTTTTTCTCTATTATCAGCAAAATCCAGGCTGATACCCTTTGGCGGTATTAGGCCCATAACTTTCATAATCCTAAATAAGGCTGAAGTTGAGGATTGCATTGCCAAGGTTTCTGGAAAGTACCATCTTGGGGGAGGCAAGTGGCAAAACCTGTCTCATCCTGCAAGAACAGTAAGTTCTTGTTTCCGTTTTGTGATGTAAATGTGTGAGGGCAGAGTTTGCCCCATGACATCACCATTCTTGTTTTGACAGCAATCTATGAAGGCTGCTTTTGAGGAAGAGCATCAGACGTGGTGACCCTTACATGCCACTCATTCTTTCCTCAAAGTAGATGAAACAAAAGGTTTATTGGCTTCATAATGATCTGGTAGGATGTAATTCTTTCCATCAATCAACTTGCAATGCGCAGCCCTTCTTACATATGACTGTAAGCTGGGTAAGAGCAGAAAAATACATCAAACTTTGTGCTCGATAATCCCAGAGACTATTTATGTAATACATTTTAAATGAATATGCTGATGGAGCAAGCTTAACCAAATAGAGTGCCTTATTATTTACTTTTTGTTGTAGTGACAGCAAATTCTAAAGACTGTTCCAAAAGGGCTGGGTAGTAAGACAAGTTTCGGTGGCAGCTTGTTAACGAAATATTTCAACCATCTTCAGTATCAGTTACCAAAATCAGATATAGTAAAAGCTTAGTTTAATGAGCTTCAGATAAAATAGCACATTTTCCTTTGGATGTCACCAAGTTGAGAATTTATATCCTTCCCCATCCCCCAAATGGTTCATTAAGTGGAGGAGTGCAGTGTCTTTGGAATAATTGTACTGATGTTGCTGTTTTATATTCAGTCTGTCCTTGCAGCTACTAGTAAAAGCCACTTGTATACAGGTAATCCTCAACTTACAACTAACAATTCATTTAATGACCATTCAAATGGATGCAGTGTCCTGGGGTTACATGATCACCTTTTGTGACCTGACAAGCAAAGTGGCCACACCCACTTCACCGTGTTAGTAACAACTGCAGTGTTTCAATTAACAGGAAAAGTTGTAAAATGGAGCAAAACTCACTTAACAAATGTCTTGCTTATCAACAGAAACATTAGGCTCAATTGTGGTCGTAAATCCAGGACTACCTGTATTTACCACCTGTAACAATTTTTAAAAAATCAAAATGAGAATTTTTGATTTATTTACAAAGTGCCATGTGAAAGTATATACTGTTATGTATATGGAGGACATGAGACAAGCAGGGAATGTAAGACGCAAGTGTTCATGTTTCTGAAATTAGTTATAAAACTTACTAGTTTGGTTTTTTTAATTATTCTCCGATTAGATGCTCCCTGGTGTGGCGTGAAAAACACTCACGCGGGCTCAAAATTTGTAAAAACCACATTTCCAACCAAAAAGAAATGGGAAGCGGGACACTGCCTAAAGGACAGAAATGAACTTTGCCATATAATGTAAGTACTGTTTGTTGTTCCTGTCAGAGATTCAGTCCAGCAGAGATTAGTCATGATTAAGTCCCCTTGAAGCTGATCTAATGAGTTAGGCATGACAGGCTCAAATTACAAAGCTTTAAATGTGACATGATGGCATCTAAGTCTATCTAGGTCGCAGCAAAAGAATATAATACTTTATAAAACATATTTCTGAACTTCCGTCTCTTCAGTGCAACATAACATGAGATTTATTTTGTTGATATCTAGATGCCATCTATTTTTGCAATTTAACAGCAGCGAACAAGATGGCACTGAGAAGTATTAATCTGCTATTGTATCAATCCCACAAATTCGGGCTAACCTTAATTGCTTCAAACGGCTTGATAAAACATGCTTTTAAATTAACCACTATTACCCACCATTCCAGGCTTCCATGATAAAAACTGGTCAGTCATAACCAAACTTCCAGCCCTTTCCCAATCATAAGAAGACCACCAAGAAGAATACAAATTAGGGTAGATTCGTTGCTGTTTCGTTAGATCATCATTTAGTGTGGCATTTAGTGAATGCAACTCCAAAACTGCTATTTTTTTAAAAAAAATCACAAATATGGCTTACATATCTTTCATGCAATTTTATCAAAAGTTGTCATGAATTCCTATAAATTATTCTTTTTTCTGTAACATTTCTGTTTGTTTCATTGTAGCCAGATACTGGAAATACTAGCAACAGTTCGTGAAGAGGAGCCATTAGAACTGGCCAATATTTTGTATAACAACACTATTAAAACTTTCTTTCCAGATATGTAAATCCAGTTAATTCTATTCATAAAATAAAATAATCTAAGTCTACTCCCTAATTCTGAAATCATTATTTAAAAGTATGTTTGCCATACAGGATGGCATAGTTAAAAATGTGTGTGTGGAAATCCTCACCTTTATTGTGAACTTTCTGATATTTTAGAAATGTTTTTCCTTCCCGGTAATCAGATAATCAGGTAATTGTGCAACCGCACAATAACCAGACTTCTGCTCAAAAAAGTTATAACAGAGTTCCATAAATAAATGTATTTCCTTCATTTCCCAATGTTACGTTTTCTTCTATAAATACTAGAAGGAATGGTATCTTTTAAGGAAACCTAAGCTTTCATTTTTAGCTGTCAAGCCTAGAAATGATAATGTGTTGTTAACAGAGCATTTTAAATTTTTGTCCAGGATTGAAATGAAGAGGGATTTAAACATCCCTCTTTATATGGCATTCAATTCTTATCTTAAAAGCCCCTGGCTTTTAAACTATCAAAACGTGAGAGGTTTTGGATATAATGTACACACCGTAATTTTATGTTAATTAAGGAGTGTTTTGTTCGACTTCTTAAAAAAATAGGTGAAAACATTTTATTCCATGTACAATCATGTACATAAAGTTTTAAAGTGGTCACAAAAGAGACCAGCATTAATACCAGCCATATTTACAGTAGCACATCACAGTAAAATGACAACTCATTCACAGATTTTGGGACATTGCGTTCTTGTGCTTAGTTGACGAAGTGACGCTTTTATTCCAATGCTGAATTCCATAAACACCCGCAGGGTTCGGGGATCCGCCATTTTAACTCAAGCACAGGGTCACGACTGGTGTTCAGAGGGCTGTTCGGGTACTGTGGCATTTGACTGAGTCGAACTCTCTGTCTCTTCTTCGCTCTCCGTATTCTCGTCGTTGAGTTCGTCTTCAGCAGCAGCTGCTCCTTCTCCTCCTCCCCAGGCGGGATTTTCATCAGGGTCATTTTCATCGGGGACCACGAAGGCGTTGTTATTGGAGAGATTGGGGTTCTCCTTCTCGTCAATGTCAACTTTTTGATGGCACATTGGACATGTCTCTTGGATGTAGAG